CATGGATCAGACAAATGTTCCTGATAGCTGTGGTGGCAATTTTTCTTCGTTTCTAACGCAATTAGTATTGGACCGTATTTTATGTCATTGTGGAGAAGGACACGTTTGAAACTCTGCTTAAAGCTGTCAATAAATATGCACCAATCATCTAGTACACATTCTGATTAGACTAACTTTTCACTAAAAGCCGCGCGCAATTTCTACTTATTCAAATAAGTCATATATCAATTGACGCGGCCGCGACTTGACTTGCGATTGCATTTGAACGTAGAATAGCCTGTTCGGTCTTTAGAGGAAGAATAAGAAACAAGAAATACCTTTTTCCACAGATCTCCTGTCCAAATCTTTTTTCCACATTGTGTAACAATTAATTATTACATCTCTCAAAAGATCGGTGAAAAAAGGCATATAGTTTACAAGTACACAATCATAAATACCCGACTTCGCTCCGTTATCAGCTAATATTCAAATACCATTCAAAAATTCATTTCCTAACAGATTTACATGGGATGGGATACACTGGAATTTAATATTTTTGTCTTTTAATTATAAGTCTAAAAATGTGTTTAGAATGATATAAGCTACTGGGAGTCTTTGTTTACCCGAGGTGCACAGAGCTAAATGTTGAAGCGCCTTTTGAGTCACTAAGAACCACAGCGTTGGTACTGTCACTTTTTTTTGTTGTTCCAATACATATTGCCACAAGTAGACACTAGGGAAGATGTGATTTCCATAGATTTATTACCTTCAACTGCCTTCAGCAAATACTTACCAGCTAAATAATTCCTTCGTACATACAATGGTGGTAGACATAATTCTGATTCCATGGCTTGGATTGGACAACTTTTGACAAAACGTCCTGAAACTCTCATTGCCTGATTTTGAATTTTATCTAATTTATAAGTATGACATTTTGCACTATTGTCGAACAAAAAACTTGCCAAGTCTAGCCTACTACGAATTATTGCAATATAAAGTCTTCTTAAATGTGTTGGGTGAACACCCTATGAAGATCCTGGAAGTACGTTAAATACGTTCAAGAATTTACTAGATTTTTCACATATTTCATTTATGTGTTTGCCCCATCTTAACGAGCGATCCAACCATAGTCCTAAATATTTTACACTATTTGTGTTCTCTAAGTTTACGTTATTGATATTAATGTTAACTTGCTGTTGTATTCTACCTCTAGAAAGTATACATATCTTGCTCTTGGTAGGTGAGAGTTCTAATCCTAGTTCGTTTAGTAACATTGTTAAACTGTCAATGGCTGCTTGAAGATAAGTTGTCATGAATTGAAAATCCTGTCCTGAAATGTACAGTACAAAGTTATCTGCGTATTGAGAAATGTAAACATTCTGTATAGTGTTGCAAATATCAATAGTTGCTACATTGAACAAGATCGGAGACATTGGATCGCCCTGGGGTAGACCTTTACATGACCATCTGGTTCTGGAACAGTTATTGACGGACTCGATAACAGATATATCTTTCTTTTAAAAATTCCCATATATATCTGTACACTGTGAAGATCCAACACTTTTTCATCCAGTTGTTTTTAGAGAATAAACTATTTCTTTCGAAGTACCACTCCAGTCTCCTTGTGATGATATTATGAAAAGTTTTGCACAGACACGAAATCAGTGAGATAGGTCTAATTGCGGTTATACTGCTAGGGTCGCGTCCGGGTTTTGGAATAGGAACTATTTTAATATTTCTCCATTGTCTTTGGACCGCACCCTGGGCTAGGCATCTGTTGAAAAAATCTACTAATATTTGTTTCAGTGTGTTCAGGAAAATTAGAGATCATTGAATACCTGGACGTGATCTTTTTTTAAGGTATTGGTAAGTTCTTGATTTGAGATTGGGGTTTCTAACTGTGGATTACTTGAGCTTAATATTACTGTAAGAATTCACTGGCTATATCCAGGTCTAAGTTAATTTTAGTGCATCTGTATCTTTTTAGCCATTTCATCTTTCTCCACATATCACTACTACTGGAGACCACCTCACCGATACTGTCACAAAAACTCTGAAAGGAAGCAGCGGCAGCTTTTCGTATAAGTCGTTGTGCTTCAGTAACTTTAGTTTGAAATATATTGAGGTTCACGGGAGTGGGATTCCTTCTAACTGTAGCTAACGCTTTCCTGCGCTCTGCTACCGCCTTCGATAAGACGGTGACCAGTATGGTCTGGGGGGATTCTCACATTGCTTGACAGTTGGGATTGCTTCATCTCAGCAGATTAATTTAGCAGCCTAAATTAATAAAATTTATAATGAGATCGTAAGTTTTTTGTATATTATTCGAATTCAAATTACGCAATTTATCTACTAGAACTTCTTTATATTTTTGCCAGTCTGCTTTTTTTTTAATTTCGTTTTTTTGTTACCTTATTATTCAAAGCTATTTCTGCCGATGTAAGATTTAACTGCCTCCGTGGCCGAACGGTTACCATGCCGGACTGCCACGCAGAGGTCCCAGGTTCGATTCCCGGGCTGGGAGAAATATTTGTATGGCCTACATTTATTTCTCTCGTGAGTTTGGGTGTAATTTGTGGTTGTCTATGTGTGTGTCCATGGCACCCGCGACACAGGGTTTCCCGAGTGCGGGGCTATGTCGAGTGTGTGCGTTATTATTATTATTATTATTATTATTATTAAATGGTCGCTGCCTAAGCTTTCATTCAATACTTGCCATCTGAATCGTAAAGCTATATCTGGTGAAAAAAACGTGACATCAGGCGAACTTTTTTGCCAATTTCCTGATACCAGTTTGATCCTAGTTTGCTCACCTGAATTGAGAGACACATATCTGTTATTCGGCATACCCTTGCTATTATTTTTATATGACCAGTTGGTGTGATGTCCGTTGAAGTCCCCCGTTATCACCGATTTGTGCGACCATCTGGAAAATAGTGCTTTCCAATCTTCGTTAGATGTATTTTCGTTTGGTGGACAATAAATCACGACAATGTTTTCCAAAAAAATCACAGTTCAAAATTTTCATATGTAACACCTGTATTTGCTGATTTTGTAAGCTAAACTTGGTAGTTTGAGCTTTTATAGATCTGTGTGAGATAATAGCTAAACCACCATCTGTGTGAGTGATCCCGATCTTGTCTGTATATATTAAATGAGTTAATTTCAAATTACTTTGTGGTTCTAACCAAGTTTCACTGATTAAACAAATATGAAATTTTTCCCTTAATAAAATATTTTCTAAAGTTAAAAGTTTCGGCCTCAAGCTACATGCATTCCATTGTATTAGTTTTAAATTGACAATTTTATTTTTATAATCCATTGATTAGGCTTAAAAAACTACTTAAAATTGGCCATTCCCCAATATTGTCTACAACCACCAGTGCTAACCACTCGATACAACTTTTAATTACATTCTTAATTTTCGCTTGCATACTTAAATTCTGTATAAAAATTATTTCCTTAATTCGAGTTAGAAGTTCGCTAAAATGCACCTCACGTTTATTGTTTACGCCCCTCTCGGTTTCGTTGCATTGTGATGACAGTGTTACGTCATGCAATGGAATGCGGTCCGGCCGCTCACCCGGTGATCGAGCGCTCTTCTTTTGTTCTAATATGCCTACACAGCTTAATATAGTCCTTTACTACTAATTTTTTTTGCGGTTGTACTGGCGACTTGGGGCGTTCTGGCATCGATTTTCTGACGGATTTAGGTGTTGAGTATACCGGAAAAGCCGGTGTATAGGTACGGATTTCCCATGTTTCAGATACTAGATCAGAAAATCTGTTGTATATATTAGTTTGTGGGTGTTCTTCTTAATATATTGAGTTATTCCTTCTTTTTTGTGGTGGAATATGCATATTGCAGGCGGTTCGATACGTGCAGTTATATTCGGACATCAGTTCTCTTATCTTTGTCTCATCCATCTCTCATATAAACTGTACAGGTTCTGTTTAAAGATAATGTGTTCATCGTGACAATTAACACATTTATAAGTGTTAGTGTCACAGTTCTCGTGAAAATCTCCACATTTTGGACAGATTATTTTTGTTAAAGTGTTGTTTAATAAAAAACGTGGTGCATAGATTACCTATGAAAACGTGAGCCGGAAGAAATTGTGAGCTAAAACCCACACGAGCAGCCTCACTATCTAGTGATGGGTACCTACCCATTTATCATCTTTATCTCGACGATTTAACCGCTTGAAGGAAACCACGGAGACTTCATTAGGGCATTTGATGTCTTTCCAAGCTTCCTCTTCATTGATTTCTAAATCTACATTTCTTATTATTCCATAAGAGATGTTGACTTCATGCGCCTTTTGAACTCTCCATTCTCTGTTTTTAAATTCGTCGCATTCCAACATTTTGTTGGCACAGTTTTCGTTCGGTACAACGACGCGCATTTTATACGGATGAATATATTTAATTTTTGTAATATCTGTTAGATGTAAACGTATAAATAACTTTGCAATCGCGAATTGTTTGGGCAACTTTTGTTTGCTTGAAATTATTGTCTCCGTGAATAGTTTTTTTACTTTTCCCCCCTTCTTTTCGACTGTAGACCACTTTAATTTCTCTCCGTCTTCTAGTTCTTCTTCCTCTTCCTCTCGATTTCTCTTTATAGGTCTGCCCTCGGTGTTACTGTCAGCTGTTTCCATTTCGTAGTTCATTTCTATTGTTTCTTTCTCCCAATCGCCATTTTCTCTTTCCGTACTTTTATTCACATTTTCCAATTCTATATCCAGGCACTCCCTATCTGCCTCCTCGACCTCAAGTGAACTCACCACAATAACAGAACTATCAATACTAACGTGGGTCAAACGTATACACAATGGCAAACTCGTTGCGTCTGACTTACACGAGTGACGGAACTGGTTGCGGGGTATAAATACACCAACCGTTCTGAACGAGTTCGCATTTCTCTTCTATAGCACGCCCTCCTGGCGGAAGTCCTCAGTAGCGCCCTGAGCCGAGGTCCGTCCCCACTGGGGCGCCCTCAGGCCCGCTACTTATATTTAAGTCAAGTTTTTAGTTTATTTTACGGGTTATGAGCCTTCAGCTCGCCCTTTGATCCGGTGGCGCAGTCAAGGCCATCAGCGGCCAACTGCAAAATATCCCATAAAAAAAAAGAGCTCACTCTTCGGCCGAAACTCGAGCACTAACCAGCCCCTGATGATGCCTCGTGGAGAGGCGAAACACGAGTCAGGTATATTTTTGGTGGTGGTTTGTGACTGTGGTTGCGCTTGTGTTATTTATTTATTAATTTTACTTATAATTAACTGCATGAAGAATATTTAACACTAGCGTAACTATTTTGCACGATTTAACCTTCATTGGGTTCGCGGAGTAGCAAACTAATTTACTTCCATTTTTATTAATTACATATTTGAGTTTGTTTTCTTTTAAACATGTTTATTAATGTGTATATGTATGATATGTATACCTGCACATGATAGTCCACTTATTATCTCATTCGCACCGTTTCGCCTCGCGCGTCTGTTAACTCCAAGAACTATTAATATATAATAACTTATTAATAAAAGAAAACCGACTTCAAATAGTTCATGGAATTACATAGTTTCATTGAAATCGGTTACCGAAAAGTGCGCGAAACCAGATTCATCCCCTAATTTGCCACCCTTAGAGGTGGAATATTTTCTTCAAATTTAAATGGGACCAAAACTGAGGTACCCTCTTTCCAACATAAAAGAATCATCAAAATCGGCTTACAAATGCTGGAGTAATCGCGTAACTTACACAAAAAAATATACAACCGAATTTAAAACATCCTCCTTTTCTAAAGTCGGTTAAAAAAGATAGGTATACTATTAGGATCGTCTCGCGTCTGTGGCTCCGCAAACAATTCCCATTCCTACTGAACTAAAATACAGGTGAACTATAAAGATCTTGCACAAGTAATTAATTCCTTTCGGGTCAGGAATTCATTCGTAACAATTCCTAGCTCATGTACTACTCAAGCCTAACTTAGAATACTTTTGCGTGCGACTGATCGCACACGTGGTAACGGCTGTGATCGCTCGCGCCTAGTGGCCTAATGGCAAATATCTCTTACGATACGATATATTTGTGTTATAAAAATAAGACATTCATTTGGTAATCAATATAATAAGAGTGTATTGTGTTGACTTGATTACAGTTATAAAATACCCTACTTGGATGAGTTTTTATTTTACTCTACCTAACGAGTAATACAATAATATCATCGCCACACATTTCTAACCAAAGTTAGCGGAAAAACTATTAAAAAAGAAAATCTACTGTAATGGAAATACCAGGAAAAAGCGCCTAAATAATGGGTGTCGGAGAATCACAGAGCTTCTTTACTTGGTCACCTTCCATTGTTAATAATTTCAGTTGGTGATTGAATAACGACGACGTCTGAGGATTGCAATTTACGCGTTGATGCACTTTTCATATTAATAATTTAAAAGTGCAAAAGACAGCCACGTGGCGAATTTACATAGAAAGTACCTTACGGTTGTTAACTGCCTCCATGGCAGCCTCTGCGGGGCTATGAGTAACGCATACGTTACTACTACTACTTTCCAAGAAGTTAACACTAAATACCATTGACCTACCAACAAACTGAAAGCTATTTTTGTCGATGTGCATTAATTTATAAAGCATTCTTTAATTTTGATAGCAGTAGAGCTCCTTGTGAAAGAGTTTATCCAGAGAAGTAAGTACCTTACCTATTTCTGTCGCAAAGCGGTGTTATTGCTCATATTACCGCTTTTATATATAAAGGGATTAGACTGAAAGTAAATTATAAAAGATTTAAGTAAAAAGCAAAAGAATACATACATATGTATATGTTATATTAAATAGTATATCAAAATGACCAAAGCGAAAATTGGCATACGTACTTAAATATGCTCGCAATGTTAGGGAGGGGAATGTAAAGGAGTGTGGTGACACACTTATGGACTTAGAATTAATTAATTAGAAATAATTAAGCCGGTCAAATAGCTTTATGTCCATGTAATAAGAACGAAACTTACGTTCTGCGTTTCGTTTGCTCTGTCCGAGTGGTAGCGAAATTCGCAACGAGTTTTTCATTCTTATTGCATGGACATAAGGCTTTTTCTGACGGCTCAAACTGTTTCTTTATTAATCAGTGTGGTGTCTCCCTTACAGTACAAAATTTAGTAGCTGTAGAGCTCCTTGTGAAAGAGTTCCTCCAGAGAAGTACGGCCACCTTACCTATTTCTGCCGCCAAGAATTACTATGAGCCTTACTGCGTTCCGGTTTGGAATGGCACATGGAACTTGTCACTTCCTTTGCAGGGTGACGGGCACATTGGTAGTGCCCCTAAGATCTTTGCGATTAAAGGCTCTAAGTGGCACTACAACTGTTATGGATAGGCGTGTCGCTTACCACCAGATGCACGACTTGTTCGTCCCGTCACTTGGTGTTATATAAAAAAATAATAGAATGTGCATTGAAGAATGCACATGAAATTTTTATACCTAGAAGCGACGTGTAAATTATGTGGCATGTTGTGTAAGTACTGTTGGAGTTTTATTTTAATATATATGCGTGAAGTCATAACTTGACATAAACTCCTCTAAACAAACTTATACAATAACTGGTCTTTTAGCAAATAAAAGATTTACAAGCAAGAAATAATTTTGGTTTATGATAAGTATGAATTAAAAAAGGACACCACGATATGTCAAAATAAAATCAATGTTTGTCCTCCATATTATAATAAATTTCAAATTACAGCAGTTTAAAATTAATCTTTTGTGTATTGTAATCACAGACCACATAAATAATTGTAATAGTACATTCTGTATATAATATAATATGTGTATATAATAGGCAATAAATCAGAAATCACTAACAAGAGCTTGTTAGAAGCCCGAAGTTGAAGGGCTTTAATGACTCGAGGTTTGTAATTTTTACCGCCCGTGTTTATAATGTTTTTCATCATATTTGCGAGGAAATACATTCAACGACAATTTATTTCTTCTATGAATAAATATTGCTTCACAACACAACATGTACGTATTTTGCAAATGGCGGGTTTTTTGTTTTTTTTTGTTAAACATATTGAAAGCTATTCTTCTGTACATATACAACTCGAACTAAAATGTTATAAAAGGTACAGACACATGCAGCCACAAAATATATAACATCAGGTGGAGTGGAGTCATTTGCCTGTCAGGTATAAAAAAAAAAAAAAAAAAAAATATTAGATATAAAACAAATAATTTCCAAATTCTAAAACTACTCCAGAATTTGAATTCACAAAATATTTTTCTGAGAATTCGATTTTTGTATTAATAATTATAACAAACTAGTGGAGTAATTCCACAAAAAATAATTGAATATCAATTCAATAACAAATTTAAAATTCACAAAATAAATTTAGTAAAACAGTTGAATTGCAAATGTTTCGTTTTTTCATACTTCAAGTTTAAGCAAAATGTACCTTTAGATTTTTCGAGCTTTTTGCTTAATTTTGACGTAAAAAAGCCGTAGGGCAAAAGGTAATGAAAAAGCCCGTGGGCATAATAAAGGACATTACGATCGACTTTGCCTGCATGTCTGCCTCCGTGGCCGAACGGTTACCATACCGGACTGCCACGCAGAGGTCCCCGGGTTCGATTCCCGGGCCGGGAGAAATATTTGTATGGCCTACATTTATTTCTCTCGTGAGTTTGGGTGTAATTTGTGGTTGTCTATGTGTGTGTCCATGGCACCCGCGACACAGGGTTTCCCTAGTGCGGGGCTATGTTGAGTGTGTGCGTTATTATTATTATTATTATGTCATGACACTGTTTACGAGCAAGTATGATGAAAATTTATATTTCTTCTAAGCACGTTTATCTATTGTGGATCAAAATTTGCCAATTTCATTTTTCTAATTAGCTTTTAGGTCGGGGAGAAAATATCTATTATTACATAAATGGCATGATGACTAAATAGACTAATCCCTTTTTACACAACTTTCTATTACGCACAAAAGTGTAACTTTTAGATTATTACGTCGAATGCTGTACGGCCTGACATAGACTCCGCAGAAGAGGGATATATATAGATTTAGGACGATATAAATGTCCCATAGGCTTAGAGTAGGTACCTACTTACCTAATAAATTAGAGAAAGGGTCTGCTCTTTCTAATTTATCTAGACTAAGGTGGCAGACAAAGGGCATATCAGCACGTAATATGCTTTTCCGTGGTCCCTTTTGAAATAGTTAGAAGGAGGGCTTTGAGAAGCTCATCGTAGGATGCGCCTTCCAACACCAAGCTATGTTGGCCTAGAGGAGTAAAGACAAAAAACACGGACAATACCACGCTTTTTTTATTCGGGTTGCTCTTCGTAACTTCCTGTTACACAAAAAACTTTTTTTGTTAAATAAAGTTCTTATTAAATATAAAAGATAACCGTAGGTAGCCGTGGTAGCCTAATGGTTTGACCTACCGTCTCTCAAACAGAGACTGTGGGTTCGAATCCGGGCTAACACCTCTGAATTTGTCAGAATTTAAGTGCGAAATTTAATTTGAAATTCACTATGAGCTTTTCCGTAAAGGACAACATGTTGATGAAACCCGCTTGTCGAAGAAGGTTCACTTGTGAAGTCCGCAACCCGTAACCTGCACGTCGTTGTGAAGTCCCCAATCTGTGTTATACCAGTATGATGGACTTTGGCCTAAACCTTCGCCTGAGCGGAGAGTCTTGCCCAGTAGTGGGATGTATAAATGGGTTGTTGATAATGATGATAAAAAGATGCACTCAATTACTGCAAGGTTACATTCTATACTTTGTGGGTGGTTATTTTCACATGTAAACTTGTAAATTTTCAAGTCTTATAAAAGTTTCAATAAATAATAAGTGAAACTTCGAAGTGACTTGAACAAAATAAATTCTGATAAGTTTGCTTAGCTATTTCAATTGTTTCCAACCCTTCCTGCTTTAAAACAGATTACGGAATCACATTTCGACGACTGGGTAATTAAATTTCCTTTGTGACATGATATTGTTACAAAGATACGAAGTTAAGTTGGTTGAGTGAGCTAGCATTTGGCGTGAATTTAGTTTCGAGAGAATTACGAAGGATTATTGCTAAAATATCTTGACAAACATACCATTTGGACAGATTTCATCGGGGCGAAATGCGTTAGCATATTTAATTTATCTTTCGTTTAATAGTAGGTATTTACATAGTATTAGAGTATGGTAACTCTATACAAACATAGCAGCGTGGTTTGTATGTGTACTCGCCCGACGCGCGCTGTTACAGGACGCATACATACTAGTTTAATGTCGCGTTGCACTCACGTTGCTCAGCGAAAGTCACACGCACCTTTTATTATAGAGTTGAAGTGTTCGCTTGGTGTTTAAAAAATGGCATTATATACTAGACGTGTTTATTGTGGTCTTTGTGGTTGAGACACCAAATTCAGATTTTTTCAGTACCTATTTAATTTCTATTTCATAATTATACTCCCATAATCGAGATGCCAATCTACAATGCTAGTATAAAAATATGAATGTGTAAATATTGCATTTAACAGAGGTTATCTAAATATGACACGAGAATACTGTGATGAACACCTTATTTTTTTCAAATTATGTTTACATCCTATAGGTACAACTAAAATCATTATGTGACAACCCTACGTTCCGAGGGAAGTGTAGGCATTTACATGCCGAGCAGGCGGGAGTTGCTCTACTTGTCTTATCATACTATGGTATTGATAAACGTGTTCCTATTTTAAAAGATCTTTGGAAAGAAAGAAAACTGGAAGACCGGTAAGTCTTCCAGTTTGGTAAGTCGTCCAAGATGATCTTTTGTTGAAAATTGAAAATTGCCATCCAGTCCAAAATTATTGCCGAAAAAGTGAGTATTAAATTATGTTCTAACGGAAGTTGACAAGTCACCACATTGGCCAGCCCGTAGTCCTGTCTCGCCAGCCATACGTCACTTCAACTAACCGCTCTGCAATAACAGCGCCACCTTCAACCAAATAAATCTAACCAATCTAGTAGCAAAGCTCTAGCTCTAGCAGTAAAGCTCCTTGTGAAAGAGTATGAAGAGAGTCCAGGGAAGTACTACCACCTTACCTATTTCTGCCCCCAAGCAGTAATGTCAGCATTACTGTGTTCCGGTTTTGAAGGGTACGAGTGCTGGTGAAAGTAATTTAAAAATGTGCCTGTAAAGGCACATGGGACTTCTCAAGTTATGTCTCAAGGTGACGGACGCAGTGGCAGTGCCTCTCAGATCTTTGCGATTTAAAGCTCTGAGTGGCACGGCAACTGTTATGGACAGGTGTGTAGCTTACCATCAGGCGCACGACTTGTTGTCCCGTCACTAGATATTATATTAAAAAAAGTGGAGGGACGGAGCCAGCCAGAGTTTATATACCTTTAAATTTTTTAAATTATTTTTTGTTTGGAATGTAGTTGATAAGCTACTTATATGATAAACACTAGTTTGACTGTAAAAAATAAGCAATAAAATACTTTGTAGACTGCTTTATTGCCTTATTTACCGTCCCTCTGTTATAGTGTACTTACCTAGGTTACTACTACAATCATGTCACTTGATCAAATAAATGCAATAAAATTATTTATTTCACATTTTTAATGTTACAATATACCTCTAATATACAACGTAAAGTTTAATCGTACTAATATATGTACATAATTATACAAATGTAATATGCTCGTAGTATAAAATTGTACCTAAATACTGTAATATTATTATCCAATATTAAAGAACTGGGAATTCCGTTACACGTTTTTCATTACACATTACAATTATCCTAGGTTTTTGCGACTGGTACATGTAGGAAATGAAACTTATTTTTAGGATCTAAATTCCGTAAATTTGTTATTCAAACATACCAATGTTTCGGGTGCTTTACAGGTTCCATGGTCACGGTTGACTGTGATGGTAAAGTCATTAATATCAACCAGGTATGTCTAACATTGACGCAAAACCCCCTATTTTACAATTTACGATACATACGTTTTACAAATTATTTTATTTTATTTTAACAAGACGAATTTTTATTAATACATTTATGATTAATATAATTAATAACGGAATTTAGAATAAATTTAAACATATTAATGTCTGCTTGGGATTTTTTAAACGAAACGTTGGTTTGTTTGAAAAACCAAATAAATGCTGTTTAGATCGGAATTTCCTGCATTACAATTACTTTATTAATTCGTATATCAAACACTTTGCCGTTTATTCGTATTGCAACGATTTTTTACGTACATAAAAGGACGGGGTACTTTCTCAAACTACAGATAATAAGTAACTAATTTATTAAATCGTTCAGACTTTTCATGGACTTTCCTTATAATTACAAAGAAATTTTAAGTATTCCCTTTTATTTCTGCAAAAAATTCTTCTGATAATTGCGTCTCAGAAAATTGGTTATTGTATACTGATATTATTTGTTCTGGTGCCTTACCATGAACTCTTATTTTCGTAACGCCAAATAAGCGGGATGGTGATATACACTTCACGTAGCGCTGTCCCACTACGATTCATTTTAGGTCCTAAACTGAACCGTAATAAGGGTTCATGGTAAAGCCCCAGGACGAGAAGATTCCGGGTTCGATTCCCTGTGTGACCAATTTGGGAAATGAATTTTTCTTAATTAGTTCTGATCGGGGTGTTCTGGGTAGTGTTCTAGAGTGCATTCCATTGCACTCCATCTGGTACTCATAATGCAGATAATACTTTAGTCTGAGATCTGGTAATGGTTGTGGTTGTCTGACACACTATTATTATTATGTTTTTGTTTTCTCAGGCTATTGGCTGAATTGAAGTGATATTTATATAATGTTGAGGGTGTGTTGTGATGACAGTCTATTTCTTTTTCTCCTCTTTTGAACATTTCATTTGTTACCTTTATATCTGCGGAGAAATATAACCAATGCCTGTTTTTTTCCGAACATTGCACAGAATAAGAAGCCAAACAAGTCAAAATAAGCCAAGCAGCAAAGTCCAAAGCTCCTTAGTAATATTATTCTTAAAATTCCAATTAGGAACTTTCGTAAGAATAATTTGCTCCATGTTCCATGTAGTTGTACTAATTTTAGAAAATCTACCAAGGTCATTAACGTTATTTAACCAATTCAATGATGACGGTCGCATAGATCTTTTCTGTAAAAAACTGTTATGACTAATAACTTCCTTTCAAGTGACTGATAAAGCGATTGTTGTGTTCTCATACAAGTGTTATTTAGTTATTTATGGTCATTGACTTACAAATAAATGGACGACGGGTCTAATACAAAAACCACGAAAAAAATGTCCCAAGTCAACCTATTCGAAATTTAAATTGTTATGTCATCGCAGTATCGCGCTGTCCGTAGAACAAATGAAGACTAAAGCGGAGTGTCGCGCTCTGTATACGATTTTAGCGCCTTACAAGTGCGGACACTTTTTAGCGCGAACCCGACGTCCATATAATTGTAAGTCAATGTTTATGGTAGTCTTATTTTCTTATTTTCATATGTGGAAACTTTTGATTGCCATCTGATTAATCATATTTAAATCCATGTTGTAAATGTTGCTGCAAGCTCCCCTAATAAAATAAAATAAAATGTTCATGAACTGACATTTGAGATGAATGAAATTTGTAGCGTTTTGTTGAGGATTTTTTTAGAATTTAATCATTTGCAGCCGTGGAAAAGATGATTGGGATAACACCTGCTGTGGATATTATTATTTTTGGATATCTATTTTAGGCTCTCGCCTTTCTCATGGCCTAAAAGATTAATTTTGAAATTTGAAAAAGTGGGAGGTTAATTTATTAATTATTACTGAATAAATATTTAAATATATCGGTGAATGTTACATTGATTTTATTATATCCGTTTTGTTTTTTGTAAGGAGGAAGTTGAGCCAACTACACTACGAGCTCCAAACTGACACCGGAGAAGCCTGGAAGAGGCACATAGACCAGCTGCTGGCAACCAGAGTTCCTCGTCAATATTAAGAGGGAGAACCTAATATGTACATGCTTGGAAATAATAATAATAAATAATTAAATAATGCTACATTTTGTTTATGTCACCCCCTTCACCTGACTTTTCATTGTCAATTTGTACATATCAGAATATATGTTTAATGTATACTAAAATGTATCACTTCTTTTACTTACGTGTTGTCAATAATGTGATTATGTGTTTAGTCCGCCGACCCTACAATTTGATTTACTTAATGATTATCGCTGAAATAATAAAACTCAATAGTCTGACGAGTTTTGTGGTAACGAATTACAATTAAATACCACTTTGAATGTTATTATAACATTTTTATCAAATCGGCCGAAATTATCTAAGTATGATTAGTTTCGCTTTGCGTGAGTTCTATATGATTAGGTTGGGTAAGAGAATAATGCTTTGAGTCATATGTTTTGAGCTCTAGGAAGAACAGATTAAGTCTTAAATTTAAGATTAAGATTAACAGTCTTAAAGGAATTTTTACAAGTACACTAAATTTGCTTTGTTTATCAGCTTTACATATTTTAACAATCGTTACGCTAAATTCGACACTTACGATGTACTTGGAGCGTTGTAGCGACATCTCTTTACAATAGTTTAAACTAATTTGTTTGTCTGTTTTATCAACTGCGAGACTCTAGTACTATGCTCCTTAGATTACGAGCTTCGAGATCCTCTTCCCCCGGTGTTCCTACCTCACCTTATAGGGAAAGTTTGCTAGCTGTACTAGAATTGTGGTTGAATAATTTTGAGGTTTATATTAGTGTGTCTGGCGACAGCAATTTCTTAAACTAGGAAGTTTTATGCTATGAGTACCTGAGAAACGTAATTCACTCTGGGATACTCCTAGATCCTACATTCAGAACGCCTAGACCAGCACTAATGTAGAAAAGTTAAATTCCTACATTGAATCTATCTTGAATCTAGTCAGGGATCACCTCATCCAGCGTCCATAGTGCAAACCGTTGGGCTACCGAGGTTTTTACTCGTCACGCGTCCTAGAGACACACGGTGTCCCTAACGAGTTTATGTTTCCATCGACTATTTTAAACAAAAATTAAATTTGTAAATAAAAGAAATGCGTATCTAGGACGAGCCACGTGTCAACTGTATGTAAATATGAACGCATATACAGGCTGTCCCACGGCTATGCGACACGGAGGGAAACTACTTTAAATATTGTAGACAGGATATTTTGCTTCTTGGAGGTATTATTTAATTTTTAAAAGTAAGTAGGAATTCTAAAAAGATGCTTTCTTCGTCTGGTAATAGAACCAACCAAATGTGGAAAAAAAAACATGAAGGAAAAGTCACCGGTGAGTATTAGTGTTCTGTGATCACCGGTTTCGAGCACAATTAACTTACTTACTTTTAAAAACAAAATAAAGTAAGGAAATGAAACTGTTTTTCCGGATTTAAATCGTGTATATTTATTTTTTCAAACAAACCAACGTTTCGGGCCCTTTATAGGTCCCATGGTCACAGTTGACTAAAATAAAATAATAAATAAATTTTCATAGATTTCTCACAGGTGGCGCTTCGGTTTAAGTCGTTAAAACCAAAAACATCATCTTCATCAATCTGATCTGCAATGAGCACATAGAAAAAATTGTAAGGTCTGTTGGGTACGTTCCGTAGCTCACTAGGGACATCGCCTATCACGTGCCGAAGGTGCTGGTTCAAATCTAACCGGATTGAAGGTAGTTTTGTTCTCTCTCTCAAAATCTGAAGGGCACTGCCATTGTGTCCTTCATCTTGAGACAAGTTGCTAAGTCCCATGTGCCTGTAATTGCACCAGCACCCTTACCCTTAAAAACATGTAGGCAGAAATATGTAATGTGGCAGACTTCCCTGGACGAACTCTTTCACAAGCAGCTCTACTGCTACTAAAAAAGCTATAAAAGTGTTCTAGTTATTTAGTTATTATATTATGCCCTCGTAACTGCGGTTTGACCATAGGGGTCGAGACTAATTGTCTGAAAAGCTCGAAATGTCTAATTGCAAAAATATTTCTGATCCCTTCCTAAACATAAACGAGAGCCAAATATACCGAAAAAGTTACACCGATTACCAGCAGGCACAGTTACGGACCATTTCGAATAACGCACCTTTAAAACAGTCGATGTGGTACGTTAATTCGGGAGCTACAATGCCACAGACAAATATAAACAATTTGATAATTCGAGTAAGAAAAGGCGTAAAAGTCAACCTGCAAAATTTACAAAGTAAGTGAACAGAATGAACAGAAAGTTAGCAAAGGTGGAGTTCTCTCTGAAAAAGACGTCTTTCAGCCAGTTCAAAGCAAAAGTGAGAGCACTGGTCATAAGCGGGCAACAGCGTGCAAGACAATGAGAGCGAAACATTCATTGACTTACAATTATATGGACGTCGGGTCCGCGCTAAAAAGTGTCCGCACTTGTAAGGCGCTAAAATCGTATACAGAGCGCCAAACTCCGCTTTAGTCTTCATTTGTTCGACTGACAGCGCGATACTGCGGTGACATTACAATTTAAATTTCGAATAGGTTGACTTGGGACATTTTTTTCGTGGTTTTTGTATTAGACCCGTCGTCCATTTATTTGTAAGTCAATGGAAACATTACAAAAAGTTACCGTAGCTTAGTATGTAAATAAATATATTATATAACATATATATATATATATATATATATAACACATGAATAATATACATATGTATGTATTATGTACCTATAAATATATATCGGAGCCAATTAAGAATTCGGTGTAGTATTGTTTATGTAACGTGCTTTACGGGAGGATACATCTTAGCTAATATTATTTTATGTCGTTTTCTAATTATTAGATAGACCTCCTACGAATCATATTAACTAGTCTCGATCATGGTTTCTTTGTTTACAAATGTCACGTTTGACAGTTTGCGATTTAAAACTCTGAGTGGCACTGCAACAGTTA